ATTGGCCTAGGGGGGGATTTTATAGGGATTTTAAAGGGATTTTATAATTTTTCTAATACAGGTTAATTAATATATATTTTAATTTGGCTTTTAAATATTTATTGTATAGCTCTGTTTTTATTTACCTGTAAGCCGCCCTGAGTCCCTCGGGAGAAGGGCGGGGTATAAATTAAAGTAATAAATAAATAAATAAATAAAATAAGAAGCAGGAGAGTGGTGGCATATTTGGGGTTGAATCAGCAGACGAAAGGCAAGCAACTGTAGGATTTACCCAAAAGTGCTTTTTGAAAAATTATCACGAAATTGCACACTGTTGTAGAGCAAAGCACTAGACAGCCATGCTATCATCTCCATTTCCCAGAGTGATGGGAAGGCCAGGTTTTATAGTAACAGTCATCAAAATCCCAAGAGGTTATGGAAATGGGAACTTTAACTTCCCTGAATCAAAAGGGCCTTTTTTGTTGTCTTCATTTCTCTTTTACTATGAGGAGCAGAGGGAACCAGAAGTTCTTGCCCAGAGTTCTCCCATCCTTGATAGTTTCATTGCAGGAGAAAGAATTAATGTGAACGAAGGTAAATATAGGTGCCCTAGGATAATGTTGCAGGATCCAATTTGAGTTGGTCGCTGGGACCAAAGGTTTATTTTTCCAAGCTTTCAGGCTTGTGCTGGAGCCCATCATCAGGGAATTTCTCTCTCTCCAGAATATGTGCACTGAGTTGTTCTATGCATTGTATTTATATGGTTCCTGGTTGTGTGTAGCTTTTAGTTGTTTATTAAAGTGTTGATGGCTGGCTATTAAGTTCTTAAATTGATGTTTCTTTGTGACGCTATGTCCTCGGCTTCTAAGTACCTGATAGGCTGGCGGTTAATCAGCATCCTATTGACTGACAAAGGCCTGTTTCCCAGGCTTCAATGATTTCTCTGACTATTTTTATCTCTGCTTGAAGAACAATTGTAGTAGCTGCAAAATTGAATACATGCAATGTGAGGCTATTAGTGAATTTGGATCTTCTCATCTAACCACTCACTGATGTTCTCACAATCTGGTAATTAGCTTCCTCTCTGTCCCACATAGTCATAGGGCAATCCTTGTGGGGAATCTGGTAAATTACATTCAAAGTTTCTCCAGTTTCAAACAATCTCTGTGGTGCATGATTTGTCCTCATTTTGTAGCCACTAGATGGTGGCCACTTGCAGATATCAAAAGTTGGATTCTACTGCTTCTGAAAATGTTTTTAATATATGGCAGGGTGTGCCATGTAATAGGTCTTGTGCCTTCTTTCTTCCTTTCTCTCCCCAGTATATTGCGCAGGCATCTTGTGATAAACACTTGTGAATACCCATTCTGCCTAAATTGTTCACATAGGTAGCTACCCCCCTAGGATGTTTTTCTTGCTGGGTACTACAGTGTGTTCTGCCATACTGTGTCCTGATGCAGATCTTTTTATGTAACAGTGGATGGTTGAAACTCAGAATGCCTGGAGTGTTGGTAGCCTTGCAATATGCCATGGTTTCTAGACTTCCATCTTTCCATCTGTTGATAAGCATGTCTAAAAATAGCAATTGTTTAGCCGTTTCTTCCTCCATTGTGAATTGCATGTCTGGGAAGATGGAGTTTAGTAGGGCATGGAAGTCTTCCAGAGCATTTCTTTGATGACAACAAATATGTCATCCATGTAGTAGTGGCACCAAACGTTAGGTGTTTTGAAACACATGGTGTTCTACTTTACATGGGACTGTTTCTGCAATGACTCCTGATATTTGGGATCC